ATATTTACTGTGTGCGCTTGATTTATGATACATGATCATGAGTTAAATGGTATCAAATTTGAAATGGTTGATGGGTATTGCAATAAATTTCTCATGAAATTTTCTGAAAGTTTTTAAGGTGGGAGAAGTGTCGTGCCTCGGGCCACACCAAAAATTAAAAATATTACTTGTAAACAAAATATACTATATTTAATATATCTTACAACCCGGGAGATCCCTTCCATCAATTTTTTACCTAAATAATCACCAAAATAACACCTTGTCCAAACTTTTATTCTCTCGAAATTCCAGCACCTTCTAAAACCCAAAATTACAGATAAATTCCCCACTACGTCTTATCTTTCTCCACTCACTCTCTCTCAAAATTATCTATCACATTTTCCCTAAAACTTAATCCCACTCTACTTTTCATCTCTGAAATTCCTTAAAACCTCTACCACCTACAGAACCAATTCAATTTTGCAGATCTCTGCAACTTAGGACCTTCCACATGGCGCCATTTTCATTCCTTTTGTCAATTTTGATGGAAAATAGTTTAATACAATAAATTGGAAACTAAGATACCATCGTTTGGGGAATCCGGTGGAAAAGCATGGCGAAGAAAATCATTAAAAGAAATAAATGGGGAGATAATGCAGTGGCTTGAATATTGTAATTGCAAGTTCATCTGAAAGATAGATGGCTAATGCTCTACAGGAATATAAACATCTCCATTGACTCTCAGCTTCAAAGGTTCAACTTCAAAAATAACAGAAAAGCATTCTCAAAAAGGACGGAAAAACCATTAACGAGGAGTTAACCCACCGGAATCCCATGATCCGCTGTATTTTCACCGGAATGACTCCAAAACCGCCATATTTGCCAGAATCCGACTATCTCGCCACTGCCAATCTGGCGTAGTTCACTGAAACTAGTCAACAAATACTTGGGCAAAAACTAAACCCTAGAAATCCATAACCTCAACAGCTAATTATAGCACAACCAGAGTCCCAAAAAAAATAAAAAAACCTGCAAACTTCCCACTCACTTCTGTTTCTTGCTTCAAAAATGAAGCAAAATCCTTTTTCTTCTGGTAATCAAATCCCTGTTAGAGAGAGAGAAATAGGGAGACAGAGGAGAAAGGGACGATACGTTGGGTTTTAGAGAGATTTGCAAATTATTTAATTTATATTTTTTTATATTTTTTTATACAATTAAATAAAAATTTAATATTATTTTTTATAAAAAAGTATATTTTTTTTCGTGTTCTCATCAAGTCAAACCTAATAAAAATATATAAAAAATAATAATTTACAAAAAAATAACTAAAATACTTCGAAAACATTTTGGGGGTATTTTGGTCAATTTATTTCATGAAAAATATTTTTTTGGTATTTTTCGAAGATTCACATATTTTTTATGTACACACGTTCCAAATTTCAAATGATTTAGATTTGCGAAAAAAAAATTAAAATTCAAATATTAGTAGACATCAGTGATCGTCAGATCGGCCCAGATTCAATCTGGACCGTTGAGCTCATTTTTTCCAATGAGCTAGTGGAGCAACGGTTGCAACAACTTTCAAAAACCATATTATGGCCATTTGTTTGAACCAAATTTTGAAATATACAATATTTTCATTCTAATGAACAATCACAAAAATAAATAAATAAATAAAATTGAAAACATGACTTATAAAGTATTTATTTAGCCCAATTAACATAGGTCGTTCATTTTGGTGAGATACTTAGATTTAAGCCAGGATTGTTTCATTTTCAATCTTTTTGGATGACTTTATTGTCATTAGATGAACAATATTACAAAAGAAAAAAATGATTTTGAGTTTATAAAAGCTATGATCTTGAAATTCACCAAATGAATTGTCTAGATTCATATTTGGTAGGGATTCATTTTGACCATATCTAATATTCAAATTGTTTTTTTTTTTTTTTGGATTGATAATTGAGATGAAGAGTGTGTGTACCAAATTTTGGGTCATATAAATAACACAAACATGATTTTTTAGAAGTGTCGTTGCGTTATAGTATGTTGCAACCGTGCATGAAATCATTGTATTTATATATATATATATATATAAACTGTTAAGAGTAAAAGTTACAATATTACTGTAGAAACCTAGTTAAATTTACATCTAAGAAGTTGGTACGAGAGTTAAGACAAGAGACGAAAGGAAAAGTCTAGACAAAGTACCCGCCAAGGCCAGGAAGAGCCGCTTAGGGGAACACGCTGGACCCTTGATCGTCCAGATTGTCATTATCTGCAACCTATAGATGGCAAATTTAATTAGGAATCTTAAAGGTAGTACTGCAACTCAATCTCAGACATTAAGAGTTAAAAATAAAGAAGAGATTATTATTAATGATATTGAAAATCATATCCAAAATTGGAATATTTCTAAGGTACCAATAAAAGATATTTATCAAAAAGGATCATTTAAATTCAAATTAGGTTATGTTATAAAAACAGTAGAAGAAAGTCTATCTGTAACTCAGAACCAAGAAGGCTTTCAATTATTATCAAGAAAAATTATTGAAAAACATAAAGAGAATAATTATAAATATTTGCACATTGGGTTAATCCAAATAGCTATTAAACCTTTAACCCGACTAGGGTTAAACACCTCAGTGCTTGTATGCCTAAGAGATACAAGACACAATAACTTCTCAGATTCACTCCTAGGCATGGTAGAATCTCGCCTATGTAGTTGACCGATATATTTTAATTGCTTTCCAAATTTTTCTGTTTCTTTAACAGATCCAAACATATTAGATATATTATCTATAAATTTGAAAACTCATGGATTTAACATGATACATGGTTATCATAATTTAGCAATAGTATACAGAATTTATTATAAGGTGATTTCTAATATTATGCAGGCTGATAAAAAAGATCAAACTATATTATTTCAAACAAATATAGAAAAATCAAATACAATTATACCAAAAATAATTACTTGGTCCGATATTATTCTACCTCAATCATGGGCATTACAACATGCAAACCAACCTCAAGAAGCACCTAGAAATAATATTCCAAACCAAATATTGAAATAAAATTCCAACAGTCTATAGTCAATGATGATATAGATATTACTAGGAAAAGAAATAAAAAACCACTAATACCTGCTCGAAAATCTTGTCATACTACTCCTGATGTTATCATACTTCCTTCTACTTCACAACTTACACCATCTTCAGACTTCCAATTACAAGGAGTAAAAAGAACAGCTGATCATGTAGTCATTCCTACATATACATCTGAACCAGACATTGAGGAATTTCAAATACTTACATTACAAATAGAAGATGATATAGAAGAAGAGATAAATACTAATAATGCATATGATGATGCATATATAGCAACATATTTAGCTGCTAAATTAGAACGAAAAAAGAAAAAAAATAATATAGATTATCTTAAAAAAGATTATCTTTCT